TTTCTTTTCTGATGGAGTCAGAGGCCCTGCCATCACCCTTTTGAAGGACTTGTTCCTCTGTCTGTTGAGCTGGCCGGTGGAGTTGTCATCAAAATGGCAAAAATGGACAATTGAGAGGACTCTTTCCCTCTCTCTTGCAGGCTGGTGAATCCATTTCTTTTTAGGACCATGGGACAAATAATATTGGGTGGTAGGCCACATTCTGCTTGTGGGCTGCAGGATGCCGACCCCTCACCTCCACTGTCTGAGATTAATTCTGAGGGGTTTTAGACTGGAGTTTTTAAGGGATTCCTACATCTAAGATTGGCGACAAGCAAAATATATGTTCTATGACTAATACTACAATTGAGAGACTTAATCAAAGCTATCTTGAATATTTGCGGGTCAGCAAAATTATTGTCAGGACCAATGATACCATACAATTTTGTAAACTACACATTCAGGATTACATAATTAATATTAGTAATAACTGAATTTAAAATCTGTTTACAAGATGTTCCCAAGGATAAATTTTAAATTCAATTACTGTTATTAACTATAATTTATTATATTTCAAATTCATCTAGTAACCTAAATTGTTTGGGTGGATTACAAATTTATTTAAAGAACAAAGACTTTTGTGGCATCTTAATAATTAACAAAAATATCATTGCATACATCAGTGTTTCTCAAACTTTCTGTAATCATAGGCCACTAAATAAGTCTTTGGAAAATCTGGGGATCACACAGTAAAACAAGCATCTCTTCCCTATGTTTAAGAATGTAGGAACTCTAGTTTTTTGGAGAATACATTAATAATCATACAGTAGAACCTCCGGTCATGACCATAATTCATTCCATAACTTTGGTGATTTCTTCGTCTTCTAATGTTTCATCTTCAGGAATTTCTGGGTCAGGGATCATGTTTGATCGCTACCCGAGTATGTGTTCATGACCGGATTCAAAAATTTTGTGAATTTTTTGGTCGGAACCCGATTTTACTTAAATTTGTGTTTACCTTCCAAAAGCTCCATTTTTAAAGGATATTTTATTCTTCCAAATAAAATGTATTTGTTCAGGTATTGTTTTATGTATGCATTCTATAACAACAACCCTTAGCACAAACCTGTTAGTCAGGAATAATCTTTAGTTAAAAAAACCTTTGAATATAAAGAAGTTAGAAGTCCAATGAAACTCCATTTTTAGGTAATCATTGTTGCTATTTACATGCTTCTTTTGAGGTTCCTGGTATAGGAACACAGCATTCTTTTAGCACAGTATGGACATTCATGCCGTGCCCTCATGATCTGTTTTCTATTTTCAGTTTTCAGTGCTCACATTACTACTCATCACCAGAGGTGGTATTCAACAGGTTCTGACCAGTCACAGTATCCTTCCCCTGCCATGCCCACCAAGCCACGCCCACAAAACCGGTAGTAAAAAAATGTGATCATCCACTGATCGTCACATGTATATTTCAAGAACTGATCTATTTTCTCAAACCAGGAGCAAGAACCTTTAGCTCTGACTAGCAAGCTGAGGCTGAATGGAGGGTTTCATGAGCCGGGAGAAGACACAGCTTGGGCTTCGTTAGCTATCTAGTGGTAAACCAGGAGAGAACTAAGTGGGCAAGTGACTCTCATCTGACCAGGCAAATGTTAGTGAAGACCCACAGGAGATAAACAGAGATGGTCATGAATTCAGGGAAGGATGTGGTGAATCCTTGGTGGATTTATGTCAACCACCAATGATTCATGAATCACAATTTCAGAATCACTGGCTTAAATGATTATTATGTAACACAATTCACTTCACCTGTGAAAGTTTAGACAATAACAAATTTGCTCATCATAAAGTTGCCATAAGAATCTTTGGTAGTTTTGCTGCAAGAGACATGATCCATCTGTTCCTCTGGAAATGTATATAAAATATTAAAAACAGTCACTCAATGCCTGAATGAAAGAAGATGTAGATTTTATAAAAGTAGAAAGAAAAGAGATTTCTCAGTAGCATAGGAACAATATAATAAAAATGTAAAATCTCTTATTCTGTGCAACATGTGGCACCTTAAAATAAATTTTACAAAAACCAAGCAGCACCGTATGAGATTTTTGACAGGCAAATGAAGAAAATAACAGAGGAAGGGATCAAACATTTCAAAGAATTCAAACTTCCTTCTGATTTATTTACTGATTTAAAACATTTATAAAGCCGCCCATCTTATACTAAACTCTGGATTGCTCCCAATCAAACATTATAAACATCTCTGCATCTAAGTCATATTGTGTAGGCACTCTTAGCTCTCACATGCTTACTCTCCAAAACACCTAGAGATGCCACACGTGGTTAAAGAGACACTTGTTGCTTCTTTAGGCTTCATGTCCTGACAAAAGTGTAGCACAAACAAACCCAACATGCACAGAACACCCCAAGGAAGGTAAAAAAATTGGGCCAAAATAAAAATGTGACACACTTCAATTAGATACATCTTCGGCTTCTGTTGTTTTGGTTGGAAAACAGCTGCAGGTGTTCTCCAATTAGCTCCCCATTTTTGCAAATATCAACTGTCATATTTAATCTGTTCCAATCATTGTGCAGCTAAGTCAACTTTCATCGTTCTTTCACTATACATTTACAGCCTGGGTTTCTAGCATTCAAGGTAACTTTCAAGCTAGTCAATTAATGCATTATTTACAAGTTCTGTTTTATTAAAAGCAGATTCTTAATTTGCTAATGGGTTAGTAGTCTCTGGGCAACTTTCCAATTGGTATTATATTGAGGAGAAATTAAAAAAATAAAATAAAACAATCCCTAGCCCCAAACTACTGGGGAAAGGGGAAAAATGTAAGCCTGATATTCAGCTGCTTTGTGCTGCAGTTTTTATTCAGATGATATGTTACTTTTAATGATTCTTCCCGGCTCCCATAGATCCAAATTAAGGCAGAAGCTAACCAACTGCTTTAAAATAAGAAAAAGCCCAACCTCACTCTGTTTTCATATTTGTTTTTGAAATGTCAAGCTTTCTGGAATAACTCAATACATATGTTTGTATTGTAATATAAAGCAGCCAGATTTGCAATACTGAACTAGCAACACAACAGATTAAAAAGGTTAGAAGTCAAGGGGAATTAAATACAATTATCATTTTCTTGCTTTTGTGCTTCTTAGAGCAAATACATAATATGCCAAAATGCTTATTTAAATTTAGACTACTTTCTGAAAATTATGTCACCGAGATTTCATTTTTCCCCTAATGCCACCTTTTTCAGTTTGTGTTCTACTTTCCTTTGTTATTCAGCCACTTCATTAAGGCCTAACCCTACTTCTTCTCCAGCTCCTCAGCAGCTAAATTACAGCCACCAACCAGAGAGAGCGGCCTATCATTAAAATACTGACATTAAATGTCTGAAGATAATTCATGTTAGTGACACTTATTTACAAGACATACCTACAATTTCACAGTAACATAAATTAGCTTCAAACAGTAAATGTCAACATTTTAATAGTGACCATCACAGCTTCAAGATAATCGTGTCAACATGGGACCGGTTGATTTGAGAGAAAGGGAAAGGAGGATGGGTTTAATTATGGATGAGCGTTAGTCCAAAGATTCAGTTTTAACCCAAGTTGAGAAAAGATGGAAATTTTGTACAGAAGCAAATCACATGTTGTGAATTTTGCCATTTGACCATCACTGGCTCAGTTGCCTTTGGAGCAGGAGTGTCATTTCATTGAGGGCCACATCAGAATTGCATTTGACCTCAGGGGCTGGGGTGGGCATGGCTGGTTTGTTGTCACTTGTGTTGGGTGTGTCTATGGTGGCCAAAGCACTCTGCCAGTGAAAATGGGCTCCCGAGCTCCATTTTCAGCTTTGTTTTCTCCTGCAACCTTCTGCCAGTGAAAACAGCAGTCCTCCCAAGCTCCGTTTTCAGCTGTGATGGCCTCCTGCAACCCTCTGCCATCGAAAACAGAGCTCCGTTTTTGCTGGCAGTGACACCGTGGGCTGCTCCTTTGCTGTTTCCAGGGTGGCCCCAAGGGCCAGATCAAAGGGCTGGATTTGGCCCACGGGCCTTGAGTTTGACACCCCTGCTTTGGAGGAATTAAGTGAGGTGTTGCTGATGCAAATGTGGTTTTGGGAGAGACCCTGAATCCAAAGTCTATATGGACTTTAAAAAATATGTTCCACTTTCTATTTCATATTCAAATATGCACCATGGCCATTTACAGATTTAAGGACAAACCTGGTATTACTTTGGAAACTGCCTATCACATAATTAACTAAAGGTCAAATTAGACACATGGCTGGTCATATGATTTAACCCTGTGATTAGCTGAGAGGAAGCCAACTGGCATTTTATTGCTTGCTATGTTTTCTTCAATGTGCTTCGCTAGTCAGCAACTGGAATAAGAAAAAAAAGGAAGTAGGGTTTGTATAACAAAGATAACTATATTATCCTGAAATATTATTCTTAGTTGGGTAGTCTTAGATAGAAAAGACAAGAAGAGTGCTTATGGCAGACATATCACAGTGTGTAGGTATCTTGTGGTACACTGATCCACAACTAATCGTTCTCAGAAAAGCTATGGAAGAAAAGATACAGGGTTTAAACCAGGGGTGTCCAACCTTGGCAACTTTAAGACTTGTGGACTTCAACTCCCAGGATTCCTCAGCCTGAGGAATTCTGGGAGTTGAAGTCCACAAGTCTTAAAGTTGCCAAGGTTGGACACCCCTGGTTTAAACTGTTAACTACATTTATACAATAGCTAATCCCAATTTAGTGCTCTCTACATATAGCTGGCCCTTGACTTAGGGCCACATTTGAGCCAACATTTCTGTTGCTAATGAGGCAGTTGTTAAGTGTGTTTTGCCCCCATTTTATGACCTTCCTTGCCACAGTTGTCAAGTGAATCACTGCAGTTATTAAGTTAGTAACTCGGTTGTTAAGTGAATCTGGCTTCTCAACTGATTCTGCTTGTCAGAAGGTCACAAAAGGTGATCACATGAACCCAGGACACTGCAGCCATCATAAATGCATCCCAGTTGCCAAGAATCTGAATTTTGATCACACAAAATGGTCACACATCACTTTTTTCTATCATCTGCACCTCTATAACTGTCTGGTTTGGTTCTGCAACCCAATAGGACAGACTTCAGAGGATAATTAGGACTGCAGAAAAAACAATTACTACCAACCTGCCTTCCATTGAGGACCTGTATACTGCACAAGTTAAAAAGAGGGCTGTGAAAATATTTACAGACCCCTCACATCCCGGACATAAACTGTTTCAACTCCTTCTCTCAAAATGACGCTATAGAGCACTGCACACCAGAACAACTAGACACAAGGACAGTTTTTCTCCAAAAGCCATCACTCTGCTAAACAAATAATCCCCTCAACACTGTTCAACTATTTACTAAGTCTGCACTACTATTACTTTTAATCTTCGCATCATTCCTTATCGCCCATTCCCTCCCATTTGTGACTGTATGACTGTAACTTGTCGCTTGTATCCTTACAATTTATATTGACTATTTCCAAGTATGGTTTGATTGCTTATTGTACCCTATGACTATCATTAAGTGTTGTACCTTATGATTCTCGACTCTTGATGAATGTATCTTTTATGTATACTGAAAGTATTTACACCAAGACAAATTCCTTGTGTGTCCAATCACACTTGGTCAATAAAGAATTCTATTCTATTCTATTCTATTCTATTCTATTCTATTCTATTCTATTCTATTCTATTCTATTCTATTCTATTCTATTCTATTCTATTCTAATCTATTTTATTTTCACTGGGGTTGTAACTTTGAACAGTCACTAAACAAAGTGTTATAAGTCAAAGGCTACCTGCATTTGGAGGCTATAATTTCTGAGTTTTCAGACACTGGTGCCCTCTAGATATATCTAGTGAGGTTTATCAGACTGGAGATGGTTCTTTTGCAGGCCACCCATTTTTTTTCAAAGGCTAGACAACCTTGATCATCTTCATGACAGAGAAAGCAACCAGAAACACAGACTCTATTTCCACACTCACTTGGTCAGAAGCATCTCTGTGAGTGCTCCAAAACAGATGGCTGCTATGTTGAAAAGTAGACCTGGGGGAGGATCCTTAAATGCAATGATCAACTGGTACACCAGGAATGGAGTGCTGATCATGAGACCCAGGACTGTGCAGAAGATGACCCACTGATGCCACTGTGTCGCCAGAAGTCTCCAGGGTGACTTTTTCTCAAGTTGATACTGGAGAGAAAGGGAGACACAAAAGAGTAAGTATGATATTCAAGCAACTTAGGGCCATGCAATGATGAATGCTTGCTGCTTATAGTTTAGAAAGGGAAAACTTTATGAAATGGTTCATATTGGATCATAAATATATAAGTTGTTGAGAGCTTTTCTGGTTTTCACAAAAGGATTTCAACAATATTTCTTGTTTGCTTATATTGAGCAATGTATTTATGGCAGGAGGGAGCATTAAAATGTAACCTATGACTGCATATATGATATTTGGGAATTTTAAAGATAAAGGCAATGGGCAACATATTCCATTAATAGAGAATGGCCTTGAGCTACCGGAACAAATCATTTAAGATTCAGTTATTGCATATTAACTTCCTGAATCTTCATTCTGTCAAAAATGAACAGGGAAAACATATTGTCTGAGATCAAAACTCAAAAAGCCCAAGTCAGAAACAAAGCAATAACCCTTTTCTGGCATCCAGAAAATGCTACATTTAGTGGAAAAATATGAACTTTAGGCATCTGTCCTGAAAAAAGAACAATATGAACATTAAAAATTGGCTCTGTTGCTTTGCTGTCCACCTATCAGGAATGAATGAAAGGTAATTCTTTTCCATTCAGAGCTTTGAATGAAGCCAAGAAATTAAAAAAGAATGTGTTTCTGAAAGTTGTAAAAATAACCCCAGGTATGGTTACATTTAAAAATAAAGCACTTACATTTACAAAATTTACATTTTAAAAGCTCACATGTGGAATTAATATGTAAAAAGTGCAACACAGGAATATTTTTTTAAAAAATAATTCACTGAAGTTATATTCAAAATATATATGCTAGGGAAAATAACACGTAAAAACTGAGTGGATTAGGGTAAATTAGGAATGAAAACATACAGATTTGAAAAGCAAATTCTTTTTTTTTAAGCTATTCTAATTGCCACTTACTAATTGGGACAGCAAAAGAACCTGATCTATATAGATTCAACTTCCCTAATTAAGGCACTGTACACATCCTCCCCATTTTATCACTAAGGCTGAGTCTTATTTACTTCATAAGTAGCCTTATTTGTGTTGATAATTGCCTCTGAAATTCCCAAGTCACTCATGGCTAGTGAAGAATTGAACCTGGGTCAGTTCAAGACCTAGTCTTAAATTCTTTAGAGCAGCTACACTGACATTTGGTATTTAAATAGTAACATGTTTAAGACAGTTTTGATCTGAAAGACTTAAGGGAGGCTCTTGTATGTCACGTTGGACAAAACTACGTGCAAAGTGGTGTGAGACTATCACAGGGGCAAATGAAGTTCTTAGCATGCTTGAAGATTATGAAGGACTCTGGGAGGTGTAATTTCATGAGGCTAAGTTAATTACAACTTTTATTTGTCATTTCCTTTAAAAATTTAAAAAGCATTAGCCATACCGAGAGAGCTTTAAAGATCTAGGTCTGCTTTGTGATCTTATGTTTCTACTTAATTATCACATAAAACATACCATTGTCAGTCTTGAACTCTTTTTTATCACTAAATAGGTAACTTTTTCTTTCAAGGTTTTTTTCCCAGTCTAAATTGCTACTGATTATTAAAAAAAAGAAAAATTCCAAACAGAAACACCACCAAATAAAAGCTAACTAGATGCTAAAGAACAATTAACCACAGTATTACTTCACAGTATGCCACATTTACTATAATTTGTATCAGTACGATTGACAAATTATGTGAGTCCTACATGCAATCAGAATAAGAAAATACTAAATAGGGTGAAATATCACAAACCCATGGTTAGGATTAAGCATGATGTGCAGGTATTTGGTGTTTAAACACATTTCACCTGCTGTCATATCCACAGGTGTAAATAAATATTAACATCTCTTGTCCAATGGAAAGAAATCAGTATATAACTTGGATCAGTTAGAAGAAAAATAATATGCTATGCATCAGACAGGGGATTTGTTACATGCAACAAACCACATGTTTGCCAAATAAAGTGGTTTTATTTTCTTGCAAAGGCAACATGAATTATACTTTCTTGGGGGGGGGGGGAGATACTTATTTGCTTCCTTGTGGCCTGTGGAAGTATATAAGTTAAACTGATACCTTTAACTGAACAAGCCATACAGCAAATATTTCTCTTTTATAAAGAAGTTGGTGCACTGCCTTTGCAACACTTCAGAAAGCTCAGAGGGTTGCCAGCTGGATAATCTGAAGATCTTTTCAGCCTTAAATGCTGCAAGCCTACATGTGCTTCCTTGGAAATAAATCCAATTGAATCCAGTGGGGCATACTTCAGAATAACCATGCATAAGATTGGACTATTCAACACAGTAGGTGATGTGATGGGAAATAGTACTTGTTGGCTGTGGCTGCTGAGTGGCAACCAGGAAGAAGGGGAGTCTTCTTTCTTTTAAGAAAGTAGAAAACATTGGAAGCTGCTTTTTTTTTTTTTAACTGAAACAGACCATTGGTCCATCAAGCTCATATTGTCTACTACAGGGGTTCCCAATCCCTGGACCATGGACCAGTACCAAGCCGTGGAATGACAAAAACCAGTCTGCGGAAACGAGTGAAGCTCCATCCATGGGATGCAGGCAGCACACAAAACCACGCCCCTTCTGGTCTACAGAAAAAACCCTCTCTCCGTGGAACTGGTCCCTGGATGCCCAAAAGGTTGGGGCCCGCTGGTGCACTATATAGAGTCAGAGACAAGGATTTTTTCCCAACTCTACCTGAAGATGCCAGAAACAAATCTTGAGAGGTTTGCATATATACCCTACACCCAGCTATCCTTCCGTAGTAGTTGAAGGGAAGTGATGATGGAGGCAGACAGTCAGCACCGAATTTTTCCTCCTCAGCCACCAGTCTCTGTTCTGTGATGAACATGAAATTCTTCTATTTTATTATTTACTAAATAACAATGTTGTCCTATTGAAGAACCTTAGAGAGGTAGAGGTTTCATTGGGACCAGATGGTTTCCCACTTGTGATCCCAACAAAAACTTCTGGTTGTGAAGCTCAGGAAGAAAGTCCCCAATGATGGAAAAAAGAAGAGTTTGACATTAGTGAAAATCAAATGTGATTCTGACAAATACAGAGTGGCCTATTTAGACATAAGATTTGGTTTGAGCTTCAAAGACTTTGGCTGAGAATGTTGTCTGATCTCTCTAATCAATTAACTCGCTTTATAAAAACACTTGAAGTCAACTAGAACAATGGATTGTTGGAAACACTATTTTCGACTCACTAGGACACTTGCTTTCTGATGCAAAGTCCTTCCAGTATCTAACTGAAACCGTTTAGTTAAATGGTCTTTTCTATTAAAGAAGAAATAGAATCATAGAATCACAAAGTTGGAGAAGACATTAGAAGTCTTATGGACCAGATTCTTGTCCAGGACTATTTCAGAAAGATGGCGATTCAACTTTTGTTTAAAAACCTACAGTTGACAGAACATCCATAACTCCAGGAAGCAGATTCTTCTACTGTTTAACAGTTCTCACAGTCAAGAAATTCCTTCTTATTTGGTCTGGACTTCTCTCTGTAAAGCTTCACCCATTTTTCTTGTCCTACCATTGCCCATTGTGAAGAATGAATCTACTCCCTTTCCCCTGTGGTAGCTTTTCAAGTATTGGAAGGCTCCTATTCTGTCTCCCCTTAGCTTTCTCTTCTTTAGGTTAAATATACTTTTTCACTGGTCTTTATAGGAGCTTTGGTGCTCTTCCCTGCACTCTTTCAAGTAAATCTGAATTAATTTCAAACTTGGTCAATGTATCAATAGTTTCAAGAATCTATTGGAAGCTACATCCAGATTTACACACTGTGGAA